ATTGTCAAAGTCAATATGTGAATATGTATATATATAGATATTTATATCAAAGGGGCTAGAAACTATTGCTTTAAATATAAACTAATACAGTTTGAATTACCAGATCACTGATGAGACTATTCCGACTTTTGTTGGAATTCCTACTTTTTCAGGGTCATTTGGGTCATTTTTGTTAATTGTGCACCCTGGCCCCTGGCCAGTTTTCCTACTTTTTCAGTGAGGACTGGTCTCATCCCTGTTAGATATGTACTTATATTGAATCACTGGAAAAGAGAGAGAGAGAGAGAGAGAGAGTTTTGCTAGAGAGCTCCAAATTGAGTTCAGCTGATGGCAGCATGGTCAGATCAATATGTTATCTGTCTATCTGTATCTATTTTATCATATAAATAAATATATTTATATATAGATTTATGTACATATAACTCAATCAGCATGTACATGTAACTGAATCAGCAGGAAATGCTTCCCACAGCATAAACAGCAAGGTGCAGTATTGTGACACAGTTTTCTCTGACCACAATTATGTAATGTTATGTATGTATGTATGTATGTATGTATGTATAAACACACACACACACACACACACACACACACACACACACACACACACACACACACACACACACACACACACACACACACACACTTATAATACATTTATATATGTGTGGTCAGAGAAACCTGTGTTAATTGATGGTCAGGAACGACAGGTATTCACTGTTTTCTATAAACAACCCTTGAAGACTGGATGAACAGGTAGACTGCAGCGTCTGGATTGCATAGAACTGAAACCAGGGGCAGATTTAAGAAATCTTCTTGGTCTTCCGGAATACTGTCAGATTTTCAGGTTTACATTGACTGGTATCTAGTTTTCTCTGTCGGAAGATGGTCAAAAATGGAGGATTGATCAACAAAGATAATTTGGAAGACTGTCAGAAAATATCCCTGGATCTGCTCCTGAAAACCCCCTTTATACTAGATGGTGTCCTTTCTGCATCCTGCGTCCTGAAACTGGCATCGCTGTGGTCGTAGAAAAGAGGGACAACCATTGGTTTGGTTGCAGAATGAATGCTCGATGATCGGCCAGTTGTTGACACGTTAAGTGTTTTTAAACTCTCAAACGAGGCTGTACTACAGGATGCAGAAAGGACACCATCCAGTGTAAAGGGGGCTTAATAGAGACATTTAGCTTAGGCTATATTCCCAGAGCTTTTAGATCGATCTATCTCCGCGGGGAGTCTCACTAGATTACTGTCAGATAATCTGGCTGAAATGTCTGTCCCGCCTACTACAAGCTGTAAGGGGGTAATTAACTTTCCTGTCTGCTCACAGCTATTTAGCGTGAACCCCCAGGGAGTTAGGTCGATTTAAAGTAGATCGATCTAATCTCTGGAAATGAGGTCTTAGATTCCTTTACTTTTTTTCATTTGTAAGAGGCCATTCAGAATACAGGACTAACTAGTCTTAGGGTCAATTAAGGCCGACCCACTTGAATACTTCCCCAAGGGATATCCATTCAGTGATTATTAGCAGATTAGATAGCAAGCTTTGTAGTGGGTGGCCATATTTGACCCTCGGACTAGTTAGTACCCTATTCTGAATGGGGCCTTAGAGAACCAACAGATGCTTTAGGTAAGGGAATTATTTCGGTTGGGCTGTCTTAGACAAAGTTGGATTTCCGTGAAATTTTTTTGTTTTGACTTGTTTTCATACTGTCCTGGCAACATGATGAGCTTTGAGGACTTCATTAGCACTATTATGTGTTTTTCTCAGTGAATGAAATGAGATGAATGACGTCTTGCGTGTTTTTACTTGCGTGGGCAGTGATTTGTTTTCCTGTTATGACGAACACGAGGTATTTTCACGGAAAAGAAATTAACACAGTTAAAAGAGATTGACGAACTCAAAAGTTAACAACAACAAAAGTTAGCGAGAAATAATATTATTGGTGTCATAATCAGAATTCGCTGAAGGTTATTGAGAACGTGTACATGGGAAATGCGTAATCGCGTGCACGTGGGCGCAGGATTTATCTTCAGGTGAACGACAGTAACGATAACAATTACAAGAATTTTGAAAGGTATATATGTTTGATTGCTGTGCATGCATGTGTACATGGCAAGTAAACCTCATGAGTGCTGTGCTGGCAAGGGTAGACGTGAGTCTCTCTATTTTTCTATTTCATCTGCAGTTACCTATAGTATACATGGAGTATTATAGATCTATGTGAATTCTTCAGTTTCAATACAGATCTGTTAACTCTCTCTCTCTCTCTCTCTCTCTCTCTCTCTCTCTCTCTCTCTCATGGGCAGTGTTTTGTTTTCCTGTGATGAAAAACATGGGTATTTTCATAGAAAAGTAATTAAGAACATTGCCTAAGTTAGGCCATAAAGGAATTTGACATTCTCAACAAAAGTTAACAAGTAATAATTTTATTAGTGTAATAATCAGAATTCTCTGATGTTATTGTGAATACTTAGCTGTGAAAATTGATAATCCTGTTACACGTGTGGGGTATATCTACAGGTGAAATACAATAACAATAACATGTTATTTAAACAGAATTTTTTTTTGTTGTTATGCATGCGTGGGCATCTGCTAAGTAAAGGGCAATAACAGTTACAAGAATTGAAAAGACGTGTGTATATATATATATTGGTTTGATTGTAATGCATGCATATTAACATGCAAAGAAGACGTGGAGAGTGCTGTGCTGGCAGGAGCAGAAGTGAGTAGCTCTCTCTCTCCCTCTCTCTCTCTCTCTCTCTCTCTCTCTCTCTGTATATGTATATTGAATCTACAGTGATCTTCAAAACTTTTGCTCTCTCTCTCTCTCTCTCTCTCTCTCTCTCTCTCTCTCTCTCATGCTGTTTCCACCAGAGAGACACAAAGAGACACAAAGATGCATTCACATTTGGAATTTCACCTAAGAAGAAATTTAATCTCTGCTGTTGAACTCTTTATTTCTTAATGAAGAAGAAGTCAAGTTGGGTAAAGTTGAAGAAAAATAACACTGATTTTTTTGCGTTTAATCTTGATGAGGTAAATAAACACATTGCTCCGTTTGAGCAACAGTTGTCTAAGTGTTTGTATATAAAGAGATTTTATAGAGTTAAGGGATATTCTTTAGCAGATTTATAGTTGAATTTTATGTGGTATACCTATGTGGTATCGTGTTGAATTTATCTGCTGTAATGTCTATCAGTATTAATATGCTGTGACTAAGTGGCACAGTTACCGTAGTTTGGTAAGGACTCAAATTCCATTCTCCTTGTAGAGAGAAAGATCATTGGCAAACCCCTCTCTCTCTCTCTCTCTCTCTCTAACACACATACATACACACACACATCCACCCATACACACACACACCTATACACACACACTGAGATAAAACACATATCTCCCCTGAAAGATATTTTGTTAAACTAATTGGGGGTAAAAAAAGGAAATCTAACACAAGTCCATATGGGTAACCAGACTACTCTCATTCTTAGCCAGTATCAATATAGAGTAGTAGAGGATCACCTTGCCGCTTTCTCCTTAACTGTGGTCAGCCTTTATTGATCTTGTCAGGTATGCATTTTCTTCATTAACTGACCGACTCATTTAAGCCAATGTCCAGCTGTTAGATTAGCTCAAGCTAACATGAAGTTGAGGTATTCGCCGTCTGTAGCTGGTGTATATACTAAATGGATTATGACTTATGGAGAATGATAGAAAATGAAAAACTTATTTGAAATTTGAGATCAAAAATGATAGTGCAGTAAGGAGGGGTGATAGGGAATTCAAAGTAACCACCTATTCTTTGCAGTTTGCTTTAATTGTCCTCTTTTGAGCATGAAAGGTAAAAAGTTGCATGTATTCGCACTTCCATGAGATAAGGAAAATACACACACACACACACACACACACACACACACACACACACACACACACAAATGTGGTCCCTTTGTTGGCCTATTTTGTTGACTTCATTCCATCTAGATTTGTGGCTGAGATTACTCTGCCATCAAAACAAACACAAGGCTTAAGTGGCCTCTTCACTTCTGCAGTTTTTCACAAACTCCAATTACCTTGTTCATTCCAGTATTTCATGTGTTTTCAAAAGTTTGCATTTACAGTTATTAAAAAAAATGCTCTTACTGGTAGATGTCTTGTCCTTTTTTAGCACTTTCTAATAATCATTTTAAAGTAAAACTGACATTAGTAAATATTGTTTTTGTTGTATAGGTATATGATATTTGGTATGTAAATATATATAGATAGGATATATTTGTATATTCTTGGTAATAAAACAGTTCAAACCCTATTTTCAGCATTTTATAATAATCTTTTTAAAGTATAACTGACATAAGTATTGCTTATCAATATTTAAATATTGTTTTTGGTGTATAAGTATATATAGGTTATATGATAATTGGTATATAAGTATATGTAAAATTCTAGAGTTCTTGGCATATAAAGCACAATTGATGATGGTGACTAATTCCTTTTTTGGGGGGAGGGGGGTTGTAAAAAGAAGAATTCAGTGTGTTTTTATTATGTTTTTTGAGTAGCATTTGATCAGCTGCAGACAGTCCACATCTGCAGATACTTTATCTAGAAAATTGTTGTTGTGTGTTGTAATCATGTGATTGAGCAAACTCATTCAGAATGGGTTTGATATAAGAAAATTGTGAGAAGTGTTATTTATAATTTTGTGGGTTCTTTACGTTTTGAGAGTGATTTGAATGATGGATATTTTTTTCTGGCATTAAGAGAAGTATTTTGAAATGTTGATAAAAGATTTATGTTGCTGGAATTCAGTGGCAAGAAATAGGTATGTTCTTATGATCAAAGAAAAAAGTTACCTCAAAAGTTACCTCAGTGAAGTGTTGAAAGAATCATCTACTGTACAGTACAAGATATTTCTTGGAATTGACAAAGTTAATGTCATTAGTCCCAAATGGGTTTGTAATAAAAACCCCTTTTCTGTAAAATCCATATATTTTACTCTTCAGATTTTGGAGGCATGAATCAGCAGCGATCAAATTTTGCCCCATTAGGAAACAACAATGCCTCACCCAAAATGTCCGCACAAGTTCGCCAGACATTGGCCTTGCAGCGCCAACAGCACCTGCGGCAACGCTTAGTCCAGCAACAGATGGCCAAGAATCGAGCTTCACAAATGATTCGTCAGCAGCAGCAACAGCAGCAAGGGTTTTCAGGGTCTGGGTTTGGGCAGTTTGGGCAACAGGTGAGGGATATTCAGTCTTGATTTTACTCTGTGTGTGTGTGTGTGTGTGTGCGTGTGTGTGCGTGCAATCGTGCATGTGTGTGTGTGTATGTGTGCATGTAAATGTGTGTGCATGCGTGTGTTTGCGTGCATGCTTGCATGTTAGTATGTTCAGAAATAGTAGTTGTCATAGAACTGCCAGTTGTAGTGGTTGTCTTTTTCCATAGCTTTTTTTTTTATTTTATTTATTTATTTATTTATTTATTTTTTTGTGCTTGATTAAGTTCTTCTATCGATGTGACTATCATCTCTTATCTTAATGTAAATTTTGCTTTTCATGCCTCTTAGTTACTTTCCTTGTTGAAAATGTGAAAATATATCCTGCGACCGGTTTGGCATTTGGCTGAGAAAAGTTGCCTGGATTCTAGTTCAAAATGCATTGTAATGTGTGCCAATGACACAACCTTGAGAATCGGGTGTAATAGTGCAAGTGTTAATCCCCTTCATAGATAAACTTGCAAAGTGAAGCATCAGTTAACAACTTGAAGGCTTTTACCAGTTTCTGCTTTAGCAATGGCTCTGTCACGTTATTGTACCCTTTGTTGAACTATCACATTTGGTGTGAAATGAATGTTAGCACAGGACGAGTTTCGTGTGAAAGGAAGGTATAGATACAAAGAAAGTTAATGAAACAGTCAGGGACAGATGGAGGCTGTCCTCTGGCAGGAATGGTAGTCCTAGGAATGGAAGTCCGGGCTCCCATGTGATCAGTACATGCTGGAGTTGGTATATGGGAGGAATGTCGCCTGTACAAAGTAATGAGGACTATGGTTCCTAGCGAACTACCATTCCTGTTACACCAGAAATAAGTTAACACTGAGAGGCATCTTAATTTTTCCTGTCGGAAGTAGTCAAAATTGGAGTGATGGATCAACAAAGATAATTGCTGAATTGATCTGTTTCAGTGTAAATGATTTATACATCTATACTGTATTACCTGGAGGCTGATGTAGTTGGTAATAAGAATGACATTTTCTTCCAGGGCATGGACCAGCAGTCTCAGAGCCCTATCCCAGAGAACTTCACAGAGTTGTTGAACAGCGGGGTGGCCCCCAATGTGTCTTTGCCAGTTCAGGTATGGGGATTTACTCAAAAAATTTTTTCAGCACCTAACTTTTTCCAACTTGAATACTGAGATTAGCAGAGCTGGTGTAATGTTAGTTTTACATTCATTAAATAAAATTTTAATACAATCAACACAAAAAGCAACATGAAAATAAATTTAGATGGTAACATATTATAAATATATAGAATGAATACTTAAAACACTGCTAATTCAAAGCATATCCCATGGCAGTGTGGCCATGTTAAATAACATATCAAAATGACGTCTGTCTTTCAGAGAACACCTGGCATCCCAAGTCACACCAACTCCCTCTCACCCGGGGACAACTTTATGAATGTCATGGGGTCCCAGGGCATGATGGGACAGGGTCAAGGTCGTATGTCCCCTCAGATTTCCCCTCAGTACAACCAGTCACAGAATCAGTGGAATGTGCACCATTCTCCTGGAGGTGGGATACAGAATACCATGATGCAGCAGGTAGGAATTACAATTTTTTTTGTAATTTCAGGGGCGGATTTAGGCCGTCTTCTGGGTCTACTGGAAGATGGTTGGATTTTCAAGTTAACGTAGATGGGTGTCTAATGTTTTCTGTCAGAAGACGGTCAAAATGGAGGATGGATCAACAAAAATAATTTGGAAAACTGTCGGAAAATATCTCTGGATCCGCCCCTGAATCTTATTCTTACTATAGAAATAAAAAATCAAACAAAAAATAGGCACACAATATGACAACACAAAAAAACACGAAAGCATGTAAATGAACTTCTCTTTTCATACACACCTACCCATGGGTGGAATAACTAGGAAAATTACTAAGAAATATTTGATCAGATATGTAAATAACTAAAAGCTTTAGCTTACATTGGTAGATAAGATTCCTCTTTATTTCTTGTACAGTTTAAGTTAAGATTAACATTAGATCCAAGTACTAAAAAGTGAAGAAGTGATAAACTGTTACAGTTATGAGTCTTTTAACCAGGACTGCTATTGATTTTATAAAAAATCACCTTGTTTGACGCAAGTTTTCATCCTTCTACAAATAGGCACGTGGTAACCAATATGGCGGCATTCCTCAACGTCAGATGACCAGTCACAGCCAATCAATGGGCGGTCAAATGTCTGGAGTGATGACCAGCCACAGCCAGTCCATGGGGGGTCAGATGTCCGGAGTGATGACCAGCCAGACGATGGGCAGCGGTCAGCAGAATCATTTCCAGTTTCCTCAGCCCGACTCCCAGTTCAACAGCCCAGGGGGGAATCCACAGATGAACATGTATGGACAGCAGCCTCAGCAGCAGAATATGATGCAGAATAGGATGATGCAGAGACAGATGAATATGCCAGGTGGGTATATGGTAATGGCTCCATCTTTTCAATGGGCAAAAATTATCAAACTTTCAGATACATCATTTTATAATCACAAAAAATTTATTTCTCGCAAGTATTTGTGGTGCTTTTACTGCACAGAAAAGAAGTATAAAGAAGCCTGCTTTTAATTTTGTTGCTACCGCTCTATAGGAATGGCGTAATTTAATAAAAGTATTTTTTGAAAAATACAGTATTTTCCCCATTGAAAAGATACAGTAATTACCATATCCATATGCTTGAGTCTCATTGCTGTGTAAAATAATATAACGTACCAGCTGGATTTGTCATTTATTAAGAAAAAATTCCTAGATGAGATAAAAATTGGATCTAAGACTGTTGTTTTAGTATGAAGGGCTATAGAAAAACAGGCCAATTTGCCAAATGGATACAATCACATGAGTCAGAGTGGCCTCCTTGACAGTTATATGGTTTGTCTTTGTAATATTACAAAGACTACCATCTTGTAATCACTCCTTATCGTAAAAAGTGTACTACAGTGTAATCCACCATTACTTTCAGTGCGTGCACAGTCTCCGCGTGGCCAGTTAAGTCCGTACGGCAGTAACACGGGCCAGCCGCAAGACACCGTAATGATGTCACCCAATATGAGTCAGTTGTCACCGTCATCGCAGCTGGCGTCCAGCGGCATGTATGCTCAGACGTCTCCGCTGTCAACAAGCTCCCTGCAGGGTTCATTTGACCAGGATATGGGACTGTATAGCAATGCCATGGATATGTGAGTGATTTTAATGGCCTCATGTTACCCCCCCCCCCTCCCAAAAAAAAAAAAAAAAAAAAAGAAAGAAAGAAAAAAAGTTGTACTCAGTTTTGCTAGCTGAAAATTTAAGTATAAAATTAAAAAAATATATTAAAAATATGGGACACCTATAAGCAAACCCAATTTAGCTTAGGAAGATTCAATTAAAACTGGCATTATTATTATGTGAGGTGCAGTATTCAGATTTGTTTGAATTTAATGTGTCATTTCCATGAGAAATATTTTTTTATAAATTTTTTATTTTGTTTTATTTTCCAGGAATGTTTCTACCTCCTCAGCTCCTAATGCCACATCTCAGTTTGTGCGGCAGGAAGTGCGTGCCATGTGCAGCGCGCGACTACAGAATCAGCAGCAGCAGCAACTACCTCCCCCTCAGCAACAACAACAAGTATTACAAAACCAACAACAGCAACAACAGATGACTTTTGATACAGGAGAAATACCTATGGACCTCATTGACCAAAGTAAGTTGGGGACCGTTCCCATAAACCCATCGTACTAGCAGGATCAATCTATCTCATAGGGGTTTCTCTCTAAATTGCATTCAGATTGAGCGTGCACGATAGTTGATAACCCCCCTTGCAGCTTCAGTGGGCATGACAGACATTTAAAGCAATAATAACTCTTTGTTTTGGCCAAAAAATGAATTTTCCTGGAGTAAACATCAATTTTCCCATACTTACCAATGGTTAATGAATCCATTTTTACATTCAAAGATGGTCCCTGGTTTTTTTCTAAAAAGTTTGGTTTTTTGTTAAAATCTCTTAAGAGATTTTAACAGAGTATAGACATCAATGGAGGTCACGTGGTCTAAAGACAAGTTCAGATATCAGAATAATAGTTATAACTGCTGTTTTTGTGGTAAAACAGAATATATTATATTTCTATGAGTTATTCACAAGGTTTTTATTGTGAAATATAGATCTCATACGAAGAGTTATTATCCCTTTAAGCCTGCAATTTAGCGAGAATCCCCTCCCTAGTTAGTACGATAGGTTTACAGGGAACCAGTCTGTGTGTGTCTCTCTCTCTTTTAAATTCTCCAGTCATATTTAAATGTAGAACACTTTGCATACAAGGTTTGAAATTGATTTTAAATATTTCTAAATAGGCCTCTTTTTCTCTTCAGTTACTGAGTTAGAAGCAATTTCACAGCAACAGCAGCAACAGTCACAGCAGCAGCAACAGCCTCAACAAACGCACCATCCACATCACCCTAAACAGTCACCAGGTGGCAGCAGCGGGGGAACGCAGTATGATTCTAATGGTCAGCCAATCAGAGAAGAAGTGGTTGTGTCACAGACGCGCCAGGAAGCCAGACAGCGATATCAACAATTCCGACAGTTGTCGTCAGGAGGTAATTATGCATTGTTGACATGGAGTTTTTTTGCATCTTGGATGTGGATTATATATTTTGTTACTGTTGCCCATGGTGGTTTTATTGGATAAGAATTTGATTTCCAGTATATAGGAAGATAATCAAAATTACTCTTAGATATCTGTTGTTATGGAGTATTTTAAACCATTTATTGGCAAATTTTATTTTAAAACTATTTTCTTGTATACTGCAAGGCATAAAAACTGATACTCAAAATTGAAACTTTTGACAGCTCAGCTTGTTACATAAGCCATAACCCATATCATATTGGTGTTATCTTTTATGGTGGGAACTAAAAAGCCCCCCCCCCCCCCCCCACACACACACACACACACACACGCATGCATGCACGCACGCACGCACGCACGCACGCACGCACACCTGTCTTATTATGATATTCTCTAGCTTGTACTAATACTTCTCTTTACTCATCTCAGTAGTAACGGCAGTGCCTGTGGTGGAGGAAGATCCAGAGTCTACAGCCACCAACGTGTTCCGCAATCAACTCCGCACACCCGCGCAAATAGCAGCGGCCAATCAAAACAGTCGACAGAGAGTTCCCTCTGTGAGGGACATGCCTCAAGTCAATGTAGTGCAGACAGAGCCTAGGGTATGTAAATATAAGTTTTTATTTGGTGGAGTTGCTTTCAATTGGGTGCTTTTTATGTATGAAGGGACAAGCATATGGAAGACCTCAATATAAACCATTGTATTGAGGTTGAAACTGCCAATTAATACCATGAATTCATGAAACTCTGAGATCAAACAGGAACATTTACCTCATATACATACATAAGGTATTTTATTTGAAAAGAAAGTTGATATTGTTAAACATAACACCTTTACTTTATCGATTTTTCTAAGTGAGCTTTGTTATTTTGTTCTGCAGGCTCCAGTCGAAGACCTGCGCCCAGCAAATCAGAGAAACAGCCTACTACAGCAGCTTCTCTCTGACCCTTGACCTTTGACCTATTATATATAGGTTACCATGGAAACCACCATAGGGGTCACCGCTGGCAATGTGGTCAGGGATAAAGGTGTCTCCAAGTTATTAACTAATTCCATATTCTTTGGTTTAAAAAGGAAATTGGATAATACATTTCCGTTTTATCTTCGATGAACAGCGAGATATCATCCCTTGCAAATATAATTGTCTGCCAAATGGTTACATGGCTGTCAGGAATTAATTTCTGGAAGGTGCAAAAGTGAAACTTCTGCTTCTTATGGCCACCAGAAAACTAATCCCTAGATGGCATGACAGTTCTGCTATAGAGGGCATCTCATAAACTGTCGCAAGAGAGGCCACTGTTTATATGTATATAGATACTTCAGTTTTCTTCTGTGTATATATAATATACTATGATGAATTTGTATCAAGAAGATGATGACTATTTGTGTATTGAACATTTAGAAAATATTGTCATGATTTTTCCGATTCTCTCCTGATGGTAGTCTGTAGCACTAATGGTAGTGTTTTAATCAAAGTATAACATTTATTTGCAAGTCCTGTGAATATATATTCATAAATGTATATTTACATATACATATATTTTTTGGGCTCAGATTAGGTTCTTATGATTATGAAATGACAAAATATAGTGTTACCATCCTTGGCGAAATTGTAGGCATTGCTAGGTGCTTAGCACACTCTTATTGGTTCTTGTGTTGATTGTTTTTATGCCAATGCATATTCAAATAGTAATTACGATAATGATTATTTTTATGACAGTTGTAATTTGAAAATAGTTTCTAGTATTTTTGATTATGCTCACTGAGACAGACTGTGTTCAACTATAAGACAATTTAAAGGCATTTCAAACATTTCTACTTCAGAGCAGTAATAACAGTGTATTATCCTATGGATAAATCGGGTAAAGTGTCTGATCATTATAAATTGTTGTCTTTGTATAGACAGTGCATCCCATAGAAATGTATTAAGTTTTTTCTAGTTGGAAATGTAAATATGATTATGATCGTCTTAAATGGTATTTTAGTAGGATAAGCAAAATCATTAATAGCAGTCGTAGGAACCTGGAAAGTAACTTTTTTTTTTTTTTTGTAAATGTTAAATAGTCATAATATCGAATAACGCATTATGAAATGAATCCTCGGGGTTTTAGTGATTTTCATTGTACATAAAGGGAACTGTTTTTTAATTGTTGTTTTACTTTTTTGCTCAAAATGACTAATCTGTCCATAATATTGTATATATTTGTCGTCACATGCCATAAACAACAACCTCAGACTTTCTTGGAACACAGTGCCACCTAGTAACAAGCAGAAATGCTACAAAATGTGACCTCTACATTTTAGATTTTTAAAAAGTAGTGAAAATATTGGAGCAGATCCCTCTACACTCTGGGTGCATTCTATAGGAGTGCCACCTACAGTTCAAATGAACAACTGAAATGTGCTTCAAGAGGTGTTTTTTGTAGTTCTGAGAGGCAAGCCTATAGGACAGTTTCATATGATGATACGCCTTGGGAATGGGTTTAATTTCAAGCCAAGATGAATGACTTGGATACAGTGTTCAATGGGGAAACCCTCTACATACACAATATATATTATATATCTCATAACAGCCATAATGTAGATACCGGGCTCCAAGTACGTGTAGCATGTTAAGGTGTATCTCATGGATAGAAATTATATTTTGTCAAGAGAAAATAAATGTTTTTCCTTTCCTTGCCAACTTATTGAATTTTATTGAAATGATTTGGTTCCAAACGTTTTTTGTTTGAATGACACTTGTTTTTATTTTGCCCAATTGACTACTTCAATAGTTTGATTTTGTCAAAGATATAAATTGAGGTTAAACAGATTCAGCAGTTTAAAACGACTTTAGTTTTTCAAAAAATGTGAAAAGTTCTATTTTTCTTATTCAAATGAGCCAAACTCTTGCTCTTTGGTTTTTACGGTTTCATTTCCTAGAATTCCGTTTTCATCACGCCATTCTTTTAGCACTTGTTAATGAATGGTGCAAATGAACTTACTGGTACGGAGGGATAAGAACAACTGAACTATTTTGAATAAAGTCACCTGAATTTTTTTCTTTAAATGAAGTGCAGCAGCAAATTTTTCAATTTTTCACTGATTTGACTCAAATGGGTTGTTAATGGCAGTGTTTTGGTTCAGAATAGTAGCCATTTGGTTAAAATGAAAATCCTGCTGGCATTATGAAAATGGTAGCATTGTAACTTAAAGCGTTCCAAATGTCCACATCAGCAAGCACATGTATTTCACAATACCACATGGTTTTACGGCACACTTGATAAGGTACGCAAAGTTTCATTCATTAATGAAAGTTTTTCAGGGAAAACTCTGATCACTTTGCATACCTGCAAGGAACCAAAATAAAAAAAGGAAAAAAAAAAAAAGACTAATAGTTGAATTTATTAAAGATAAAAAAGGAAGATTTTTTTGCACCAAAATTCACTTACCAACCTTAAATCTGCCTCCCCAGATACTTACCACAACCCTGTAATAATTTTGGAAAAAGCATAAGATCAAAACCTGCGCATTTTCCAGATACGCCATTTATTCCATTGACTTGAGTTCCCGATATGTTGGGACTTAAGGCATCTTGGCTCGTATTTTTTTCAAACAGTGTCAAGATGGCTGACTACCGAGGTTTGACAAGGCATGGTAAATATGATTATTTTTTGGAATATCAAGGCCATTTATATGTCATTTTATATTTCACAAGTTGAAATTATCCTCATAAGTTCAACAAGAAGCGATCCATGCACTTGAAAGCGTTGTAAATCCCACATTGTGTTCTAAATCTCAGCCCTAATTGCAAGTTGCCACCCGATCGTCCTCATGAAAGGAAAGTCATGAACATTAAGTCAATTCATTTGCACGTAATTACCAATTTCTTGGAATATCAAAGAGAGAGAATAAAACAACATTTCCCTTCATTAGTTTATTGTTAAAACCTGTATCAAAAATAGAATAATTTACACTTAAAGTTACACATTCACCCCAGTTAACCTTTTATACCAATGTTTCACTGTGGACAACAAAGTTGTCTTGCCAACATAATTTAAATAACAAACCCCACTTCACGTAATACCCAGACATGCTGAAAACTTTTCAGAATGGCTGGACATTTGGACTGTCAGTAACGAAAAATTTGACGGACCGAATGGATTTTTGTCGGACTGAAAATCACTCTATTCCTTTGAGACAGATGCTACCAGTACGATTAAGGTAGCTTACTTTGTTTGTTAATGTGAAAGGTTTGAAATGGAAGGGAAAAAACACTTTGGGTTTTATATAATTTTATTAGTGAAGTATGTCGAAAGATGACTGTAAATTCAAAATTGCGGTTCTTAAAATTCTTGTCAGTCCTTTGGACCGACCAAGTCCAATTTTCTACCGGTCCAGACAAATTTTCCCGGTCATGACCGATGGGACCGACAGTTTCAGCAAGTCTGAATACCATTTAAATCTGCCACATATCAACCAACAAAATGTCAAAATTAACATCAGGGATGAGACTGCCATTTAGTTAAAAAGTGAAAATTTGGCCTGGGGTTCAGACCTACCCCAACCACCAATTTCCACAATCTTTATTGCCGATCTGCATCGATCTCAAAAATGATATTTTTTAGCTAGTACCAAAATGTCCGAAACCTGCCGATAGTTGGAAGAATCTCATCCCTGTAATATTCGTCCACAGAATAAACTGCTTCAGACTGTAAATGCAAGGGTACTGTATTTACTGATACCGAAGATAGTGTTGTCCCTCTGCCAAGGATAATACTTAAAGAGTGCATAATATTTATATATTGACCTCTTCCTTCAGCAGAGTAGCAATAACAGGCCTACCCAACTACCAGACTCGGCACCTAAGGATCCTGAATTAACCGGTATATCGGACCACGCTACCCGTTTTCAAGGTGTGTGTCAGATCGCATTTCGGAGTATCATACACCAGAATAAATTTTGTAGCACGACTGCGGGCTCATCCACGCTCAGCTGAACAACCTGAAACTGTACTCTTACTTTAGAGTACTCTATTTTATTGTTTCTATGGGGGTATATGGGGACTTTACGACATTCGGTTTGAATGTTTTAACCACTTTTGATAGGGCTTTTTTGCATTGTATTAGATTAATGTGGCAGTCTTAGGTTCATCTAGGTGGCTTTCAAATTTATGCGCCCGGTTTTAAAATCATATAGCGATTTTACGACAATCGTTTACTATCCAATCAAAGTGACAGCCGAGCATGCCAGGGCTCATCCTGTCGGTGTTCTGGCTGATACTCCGAAATGCGATCTGACACACACCTTGAAAACGGGTAGTGTGGTCCGATATACCGGTTAATTCAGGATCCTTAGGTGCCGAGTCTGGTAGTTGG